AGTGTCATGGAAAGAGCCATGTTTCATGACGCCATTTTCAGGAAGCTTATACAGTACTGACATAGTAGAAGGACTTGTAGGTGATAGATTAAAGAATATAGTTCTTCACACACACAGTACTGCATATAAGATAGATAACCAACAAGGACCTTCTGTATAGCACAAGGAACTCTACTCAGTACTTTGTGATAACCTATATGAGAAAAGAATCTAAAAAAAATGAATATATGTACATGTATAACTGCATCACTTTGCTGTACACCTGAAACTAACACAACATTGTAAATCAACTATACTCCAATAAAAAAAAGGAAAAAAAAATTTAGTTCTTGAACTAGTTGTAGATATTTGTTGCAGGTACAGTATTTACATAAGACCTTTTTTCTTAAACTTTGGACCTCATTAGAGAGCAAGGTATTTAAAACATTTTTAAATTCAGCTATAAGACTATTATGTGATTAGCTAATATGTATCAAGTAATTATTGACAGGTGCTGATCTAATTTAGAAGTGCTTTTTTTCATTATTAAAAGTTTAAACATTATTATAGAATGATAGAGTAGAAGTAGAAAGTAAACTTTTTTGTAGGTTGGGTTTTGGTAGTATACTCAATTAGCATGGGCTGATTGTTCCCTTCCCCAAGATCAACCCTAACAATATAAAGACATGTCAAAAACCTATGAAAAATAAAACAGTGAGTAATTTATGCGGAGAGAGTTTACTACTTAAAATGGTATGTGTGTGGAGGGGAATGATAGTAGCTATGGCCTGGGGAAGAAGGAGGCTGCAGCTGGTAATGGGAGGATAATTTAGGAAGAAGAGTTTGAGTTCTGCTTTTGAATATTTTATCCACCATGCTACTCGCTACCACCATCCTCATGGTGCCTTGGGCAGTTAAAATGTCTATGCCTCTCCTCAGGACGTAGTGGCAGAGGCTCAGTCATCTGATAACAGGAATACTTAGGGGTAAAATCTGACCAATGACACAGGCCCAGCTGGAGAGAGGAGTCAAAGACAGTGGGTACTGACTAGGCCAGAGCTAACTGTCCCACCTCTCCCCATCTAACTACCCAGCAGTGCTGCATCAAAAATTAAAAGAATGCCTCTGTTAGTGCTGCCTCTCCCTGGGAGCGATTGAAAGAGGCTGGGAGTAAAGCCCTGTCCCAAGGGTTGGTGGTGCATAGGACTGATGAACTGTGGTTTCCTGGTCCTGGGGCTCTCCACCCTGAGTCCTTCCCCCTATTCTCTCCTTCTGCCCATCTGGATTGTCATAGATTTAGGTCTTTCATGTTCCCCAAATATGCATTCTTGGACAGAGTAGCCAATATACCCAGAGGAACATGAGTTGACCATTCAAAATAAAGAGATGTCTAGGGAGTATATTTTTATTTCAAATTTTTAAAACATTAACTTTTTACAGTTATCAACAGAAACAGGTGTTTTTAAATAAAGAATTTTATTTATTTATTAGGCCATGCCCCATGGCTTGTGGGATCTTAGTTCCCTGACCAGGGATGGAACCCAGGCCCCCTGCAGTGGAAGCACAGAGTCCTAACCACTGGATTGCCAGAGAAGTTCCTAAATAGAGAATTTAAAGTAGGTATAATAAACACTCACGGTTTAGGGAGATAACAATATGAAAAGAATAGACACTATTAAGAAAATCAATTGGCAATATTAGATGTGAAAAATATTAGATATACAATATTAGATATGAAATGAAAAACATAGTAGATTTAAAAAAATAGAATGATGCAGACAAAAAAGAAATAAGAAAGCTGGAAGATCAAATTGAGCAATTCTCCCAGAAGAGAGTAGATAAGGAGAAAGGAAATGTTAACAAATATGGAACCTATATGGAGAAATATTAATATCCATATAACAGGGATCACAGAAAGGAAAAAAATGGGAGAAGTTAAATTTTTTTTTAAAATAATGAAGAGTAACTTCTCAGAACTAAAGAAAAATGAAAGGTCTCAGGTTAAAGAGATCCACTGTATACCAAAAGGAAATATAAAGAAAAGCTACATCTAGATATAGTAAAAATTAAGAGTATTGAAAAATTCTAAAGTTTTCTGTAGAAAAAGAGATCACATTTAAAGGAAAAAAAGGAGATGCAAGAAAACAATGGAGTAATACCTTTAAAATATTAAAGAAAAAGAACTTTCAATCTAGAATTTATATCCAACCAAACTATCACTTGAAAGTGAGGGTACTGTTAAAACCTTGTTAAACATAAAAGGACTAGGAAGATTTGCCTCACAAAAATTCACATTAAAAACACTTTTGAGGGCTTCCCTGGTGGTGCAGTGGTTGAGAGTCCGCCTGCCGATGCAGGGGACATGGGTTCGTGCCCCGGTCTGGGAAGATCCCACATGCCGCGGAGCGGCTGGGCCCGTGAGCCGTGGCCGCTGAGCCTGCGCGTCCAGAGCCTGTGCTCCGCAACGGGAGAGGCCACAACAGTGAGAGGCCCGCATACCGCAAAAAAAAAAACAAACAAAAAACCACTTTTGAGGAAGTACTCAATATGAAGAGAAAAAAGTCTCAGAGATGCTCTAAGAAATATGCTAACTAAAATGATTAAATAGCTAGATAAAATTCATAATTAAAAAAATAAGACCAAAAAAGAGAAACAGTAAACCCATAAGAACTCGTAAGAACCCAGAAACAAAATTCTGGACAACCATCAAGATGAGTGTTGGGAAATGAGAGACCAACATAATATAAACATAAACATAAGAGAATGTTTTTGTATTTTTAGAGAGAATATTTAGATTTTTTAATACAAAGAAAGCAGTAAGAAGAGTTTAAAAAGAAATGTAAGGTGTGAGACAAATTATAAACTAAGATTGGCAAAACCAATCTAAATATACCAAAATTCAAAATACATGTTAATAAACTAAACTTGCCAGTTAAAAGACAGTAATCACCCACTGGGAAAACTAATGCAGCTAAATGCAGGGTGTTGGGTTGCCTTGTGTCTTGCCATAACAAACAAAGTCCAAATCTCAGTGGCTTAATATTTTTTTCTTACATTAAAATCCAAAGTAGATCTTTAGAGAGTGGAGGGAGAGGGTTGAGAAAGGAGCAGCTGGAGGAAAGTTGTGTCCATACAGTTATTCTGGGCCCAGGTTCCATTCAGTTACGTGGAATTCTCCAGCGACCCTTCTGTTTCCGGCCAGCAGGCAGGCAGAAAACAGACAGCATGCAGGCTACCAAGGGAGATGTTAGGGCAGTTTGTAGTGGCTTACATTCTGCTTGCTCACATTCCATTGTCCTGAATTCATTTTCGCAGCCTTCTAACTTCAGGGGAGACTGAAATATGGTCAGTTTTTATGCTAAGGAGTAAAAGAAAATGTTTGAACTGTTCTCTATGCCTGATCTGCTCTTCTGGTCCTCAAATATGTTTCTCCCTTCCTTCCAGAGAACACCCAAAAAAGAATCCCAGATTCCTTCCAGTTGCTACAACTATCATAAAGTCCAGGATATCTAGATGATAAACAGCTTTCTCCCTCAGATGCACCTGCAGTTCTTCTTGGTCCAGAAGTTATGAACTAAAATAACAGGTTACCTACTGCCACCAAAACACACACCTAATGTGTAGTGAAGAAAAATGGTCAGAAATCACAATAAAATTCTTATTTGGCAAATGAGAAATATGTCAGACAAATTATCCTGAAAAAGCAGATATGGTTATATTAATATCAAACAAAAAACTAAGACAAAAAGCACTATGAGGAATAGAGACAGTTACTACATTTAGAGAAAATGTATAACATCTCTCACCAATATAACATCTCTAAACAGATATGCATCTAATAAAAATAGTCCCAAAACATATGAGGATTAATGGGTTAAACTAAAGGAAGTAATTGCAAATCTACTTTCATGTTGAAAGATTTCAGATACATCTCAATTATTGATAGGCTACACAGATGAAAACATTAACAAGGATTTAGAAAATCTCAACTATACAATAAGCTTGACCTAATAGACATATATCAAAATTTACATCTAGCAATGAGAATACATGTCCTTCTCGACCACACATAGAAATTTTAAAAAAATCATACACTAGGACATAAAATAAGCCTCAACAATTTTCAATGAATAGATAATGTGCAGACTGCTCTCTTTGACTGCAAAGGCAATTAAGCTAGAATTTAGTGACCAGATAAATTAAAAATCCCATACATTTAGAAATATAGAAACACTTGTAAATAATACATAGGTTAAATATGAAATCATTCTGGAATGAAATCATTCTAGAAACTAGAAAGTAGCTAAAACTGCAACAAAACAGCAAAAGCAGTACATTGAAGAAAATTTACTGGTTTATATTAAGAGAGAAAAGGTGAAAAGTCCAACTTAGGAAATTATAAAAAGAAAAATATAAAACCAAAAACCTTAGGTGAGCCAGATATGCTTACTTTAGTATAGCTCTATATTATTGGACTATTGAAGTGTGAGAAAGCCATGAAATGCCTTTCAAGAGGCATTAAAGTACAACTAATTAACGTTAATAAATTATAGTTGAATCATTAACCTTGTGAACTGCAAGGTCAGACAATCCTCATGGAATTTCAGGACAAAAACCCTAAAGGGAAAGATTATTTTGTTATGCTGTTATGTAGAAATAAACTATGATAAAAACAAGAGAGAGAAGGGATTTTTCCATCAGATTTTTTTTTGGACAGCCAAATAAAAGCATACTCTAAAAATTACCGTTATAAATTTCAACTAATGTTGAAGTTAGAAAAATTCCTGTATAGAGTGACTGCATTAATTCTCTCACTTCATCTTCACAAGTGCTGAGAAAGCAAAGGAAGTATGGACATACTGGATAATTTCTACTATTCCATTAGATCCACTCATTTAAAATTAAGTGGAAATACAGTAAGTCCCCTACATACGAACGAGTTCTGTTCCGAGAGCACATTCCTAAGTCCAATTTGTTCATAAATCCAACAAACACAGTCTTTATCGCTTGGCACTTCTTACCAGTACCAGCTACATCACTGTTGCTTTTATGCTTGCTTCCGGACATCCTGGGCTTGAAATAAAGATGCCATACTACTGTACTCTAGACAGTACTGTACAGTAGAGTACACAAAAGCACAACCACTTGTAGAGGATGCACACAAAACACAGCCACTTGTAGAGGGTGCAAGTGACAATGTACACCAAACACATGAACTAACTTGTGTGATTGGACATGTGAATGCACGTTCACATCTTTGAAAGTTCTCAACTTGAAGGTTCATATGTAGGGGACTTACTGTGCCCATATCTGTTATTTCTGTTTTTTTAGGTTTTCCCCCCATATTTGTTGTAAATTCTCACTGAGTGATGAAGGATTCAAGAGACACTGGGAAAAACATGGGCACAGGCCACTCTCAAATAGCCTTCAAGTTTGATCCAAGCCCTGATATTTCCCAGACAGGAAACCTTATGCAAGTCATATAACTTTTCTTAGGCTCATATAATCTTACTTTTATAGGCTTCCTTTAAAGTGGATGAAAGTGTAACCTGAATCAGCATTCTTTTGTGAAGTCAATTAAGTCAATTAATGTTTATTAAAGTTCTATGTTGCAGACAAGATAGCATGCAATGAAATATTGAATATTCTTGGCACGTGGTAGTTGTTTTATAAGTAGGAGTTATGAAATGATCATACTATTCTAATAATTCTCTGCATTTTAAGGAAACAATGTAAAACCATGTTCCTAAGGGAAAAAAATTCTAATTTTTTCTAAATATTATTTGCCAATCCATTAAAATATGAATTTTTTTTTACATCTTTATTGGAGTATAATTGCTTTACAATGGTCTGTTAATTTCTGCTTTATAACAAAGTGAATCAGTTATACATATACATATGTTCCCATATCTCTTCCCTCTTGCGTCTCCCTCCCTCCCACCCTCCCTATCCCACCCCTCTAGGTGGTCACAAAGCACCGAGCTGACCTCCCTGTGCTATGTGTCTGCTTTCCACTAGCTATCTATTTTACGTTTGGTAGTGTATGTATGTCCATGCCACTCTCTCACAGCCTCCCCCTCCCCCTCCCCATATTCCCATGTCCACTCTCCAGTAGGTCTGTGTCTTTATTCCCATCCCACCCTAGGTTCTTCATGACATTTTTTTTCTTAAATTCCATATATATATGTTAGCATATGGTATTTGTCTTTCTCTTTCTGACTTACTTCACTCTGTATGACAGACTCTAGGTCCATCCACCTCACTACAAATAGCTCAATTTCGTTTCTTTTTATGGCTGAGTGATATTCCATTGTATATATGTGCCACATCTTCTTTATCCATTCATCCATTGATGGACACTTAGGTTGTTTCCATCTCCTGGCTATTGTAAATAGAGCTGCAATGAACATTGTGGTACATGACTCTTTTTGAATTATGGTTTTCTCAGGATATATGCCCAGTAGTGGGATTGCTGGGTCATATGGTAGTTCTATTTTTAGGGTTTTTTTGTTTGTTTGGTTGGTTTTTGCCGTACGCAGGCTTCTCACTGCTGTGGCCTCTCCCTCTGTGGAGTCAGGCTCTGGAGGCGCAGGCTCAGTGGCCATGGCTCATGGGCCCAGCTGCTCTGTGGCATGTAGGATCCTCCCAGACATGGGCATGAACCCACGTCCCCTGCACTGGCAGGCGGACTCCCAACCACTGCGCCACCAGGGAAACCCTATTTTTAGATTTTTAAGGGACCTCCATACTGTTCTCCATAGTGGCTGTACCAATTCACATTCCCACCAGCAGTGCAAGAGTGTTCCCTTTTCTCCACACCCTCTCCAGCATTTATTGTTTCTAGATATTTTGATGATGGCCATTCTGACTGGTGTGAGATGATATCTCATTGTAGTTTTGATTTGCATTTCTCTAATGATTAATGATGTTAAGCATTCTTTCATGTGTTTGTTGGCAATCTGTATATCTTCTTTGGAGAAATGTCTATTTAGGTCTTCTGCCCATTTTTTGATTGGGTTGCTTGTTTTTTTGTTATTGAGCTGCTTGTAAATTTTGGAGATTAATCCTTTGTCAGTTGCTTCATTTGCAAATATTTTCTCCCATTCTGAGAGTTGTCTTTTGGTCTTATTTATGGTTTCCTTTGCTGTGCGAAATCTTTGAAGTTTCATTAGGTCCCATTTGTTTATTTTTGTTTTTATTTCCATTTCTCTAGGAGGTGGGTCAAAAAGGATCTTGCTGTGATTTATGTCAGAGTGTTCTGCCTATGTTTTCCTCTAAGAGTTTGATAGTTTCTGGTCTTACATTTAGGTCTTTAATCCATTTTGAGCTTATTTTTGTGTATGGTGTTAGAGAGTGATCTAATCACATATTTTTACATGTACCTGTCCACTTTTCCCAGCACCACTTATTGAAGAGGCTGTCCTTTCACCACTATACATTCCTGCCTCCTTTATCAAAGACAAGGTGGCCATACGAGTGTGGGTTTATATCTGGGCTTTCTATCCTGTCGCATTTATCTATATTTCTGTTTTTGTGCCAGTACCATACTGTCTTGATTACTGTAGCTTTGTGGTATTGTCTGAAGTCAGGGAGCCTGATTCCTCCAGCTCTGTTTTTCGTTCTCAAGATTGCTTTGGCTATTCGGGGTCTTTTGTGTTTCCATACAAATTGTGAAAATTTTTTTTCTAGTTCTGTGAAAAATGCCAGTGGTATTTAATAGGGATTGCATTGAATCTGTAGATTGCTTTGGGTAGTAGTGTCATTTTCAAAATGTTGATTCTTCCAATCCAAGAACATGGTATATCTCTCCATCTATTTGTATCATCTTTAATTTCTTTCATCAGTGGCTTATAATTTTCTGCATACAGGTCTTTCTTCTCCTTAGGTAGGTTTATTCCTAGGTATTTTATTCGTTTTGTTGCAATGGTAAATGGGAGTGTTTTCTTGTTTCACTTTCAGATTTTTCATCATTAGTGTATAGGGATGCCAGAGATTTCTGTACATTAATTTTGTATCCTGCTACTTTACCACATTCATTGATTAGCTGTAGTAGTTTTCTGGTAGCATCTTTAGGATTCTCTATGTAGAGTATCATGTCATCTGCAAACAGTGACAGCTTTACTTCTTTTCCGATTTAGATTCCTTTTATTTCCTTTTCTTCTCTGATTGCTGTGGCTAAAACTTCCAAAACTATGTTGAATAAGAGTGGTGAGAGTGGGCAACCTTGACTTTTTCTTGATCTTAGTGGAAATGGTTTCAGTTTTTCACCATTGAGGACGATGTTGACTGTGGGTTTGTCATATATGGCCTTTATTATGTTGAGGAAAGTTCCCTCTATGCCTACGTTCTGCAGGGTTTTTATTATAAACGGGTGTTGAATTTTGTCATAAGCTTTCTCTGCATCTATTGAGATGACCATATGGTTTTTCTCCTTCAGTTTGTTAATATGGTGTATCACATTGATTGATTTGCATATATTGAAGAATCCTTGCATTTTGGAATAAACCCCACTTGATGATGGTGTATGATCCTTTTAATGTGTTGTTGGATTCTGTTTGCTAGTATTTTGTTGAGGATTTTTGCATCTATGTTCATCAGTGATATTGGCCTGTAGTTTTCCTTCTTTGTGACATCCCTGTCTGGTTTTGGTATCAGGGTGATGGTGGCCTCGTAGAATGAGTTTGCGAGTCTTCCTCCCTCTGCTATATTTTGGAAGAGTTTGGGAAGGATAGGCGTTAGCTCTTCACTAAATGTTTGATAGAATTCGCCTGTGAAGCCATCTGGTCCTGGGTTTTTGTTTGTTGGAAGATTTCTAATCACAGTTTCAATTTCAGTGCTTGTGATTAGTCAGTTCATATTTTCTATTTCTTCCTGATTCAGTCTTGGCAGGTGGTGCTTTTCTAAAAATTTGTCCATTTCTTCCACGTTGTCCATTTTATTGGCATAGAGTTGCTTGTAGTAATCTCTCATGATCTTTTGTATTTCTGCAGTGTCACTTGTTACTTCTCCTTTTTCATTTCTAATTCTATCGATTTGAGTCTTCTCCCTTTTTTTCTTGATGAGTCTGGCTAATGGTTTATCAATTTTGTTTATCTTCTCAAAGAACCAACTTTTAGTTTTATTGATCTTTGCTATTGTTTCCTTCATTTCTTTTTCATTTATTTCTCATCTGATCTTTATGATTTCTTTCATTCTGCTAACTTTGGGGGTTTTTTGTTCTCTTTCTCTAATTGCTTGAGGTGCAAGGTTAGATTGTTTATTCAACATGTTTCCTGTTTCTTAAGGTAGGATTGTATTGCTGTAAACTTCCCTCTTAGAAGTGCTTTTGCTGCATCCCATAGGTTGTGGGTCGTCCTGTCTCCATTGTCATTGGTTTCTAGGTATTTTTTGATTTCCTCTTTGATTTCTTCAGTGATCACTTCATTATTAAGTAGTGTATTGTTTAGCCTCCATGTGTTTGTATTTTTTACAGATCTTTTCCTGTAATTGATATCTAGTCTCATAGCGTTGTGGTCGGAAAAGATACTTGATACAATTTCAATTTTCTTAAATTTACCAAGGCTTGATTTGTGACCCAAGATATGATCTATCCTGAGAATGTTCCATGAGCACTTGAGAAAAATGTGTATTCTTTTGTTTTTGGATGGAATGTCCTATAAGTATCAATTAAGTCCATCTTCTTTAATGTATCATTTAAAGCTTGTGTTTCCTTATTTATTTTCATTTTGGATGATCTGTCCATTGGTGAAAGTGGGGTGTTAAAGTTCCCTACTATGAATGTGTTACTGTTGATTTCCCATTTTATGGCTGTTGGCATTTGCCTTATGTATTGAGGTGCTCCTTTGTTGGGTGCATAAATATTTATAATTGTTATATCTTCTTCTTGGATCGATCCCTTGATCATTATGTAGTGTCCTTCTTTGTCTCTTCTAATAGTCTTTATTTTTAAGTCTATTTTGTCTGATATAAGAATTGCTACTCCAGCTTTCTTTTGGTTTCCATTTGCATGGAATATCTTTTTCCATCCCCTCACTTTCAGTCTGTATGTGTCTCTAGGTCTGAAGTGGGTCTTTTGTAGACAGCATATATAAGGGTCTTGTTTTTGTATCCGTTCAGCCAGTCTGTGTCTTTTGGTGGGAGCATTTAATCCATTTAAATTTAAGGTAATTACTGATATGTATGTTCCTGTTCCCATTTTCTTAATTGTTTTGGGTTTGTTACTATAGGTCTTTTCCTTCTCTTGTGTTTCTTGCCTAGGGAAGATCCTTTAGCATTTGCTGTAAAGTTGGTTTGGTGGTGCTGAACTCTCTCAGCTTTTGCTTGTCTGTAAAGTTTTAATTTCTCCATCAAATCTGAA